CTTTCTTTGCCTTCCTGGACATGTCCTTTAACAGGCCTAAGGCTATACAAGACAAAGTTTAAACCACATCTGCAGGCTATTAATTTAATTAGCACATCATTTGAGTTTTGGTAAATGTCTGGCAGTGGCTTGTCTTTGATTAACAGACATCTTTACCTTAACTTAAACCATTTCAATCCTTTAGATGAAAGTTCATTTTTGGTTGTTATTGTTGTTGTTGTTGTTGTAGTTTTTGGCCAAGGCTGGGTCTGAACCCACCACCCCGGCATACGGGGCCAGCACCCCACTCCTTGAGCCACAGGCGCCGCCCTGAAACTTCATTTTTTTTAACCAATTACAAATCAAAGAATCTTTAAACCCACCTATAATCTGTTAAACTCCCACTTTGAGATGTCTTATCTTTTTGGGTTAAAACAAGGTACACCATCCATATAGTGACTTAGGGTCTTATGTGTAATTCCCATGTCCATTACTGTGTAAAACCAAACTGTAACCCACCTATGGAAGGCACATTTTCTCAGGACATCTTGAGTACATGTTCTCTGGGCCAGTCACAGACTTTTGGCTCAGAAATTATTTTTCAGAGTTTGGATCTTTTTCCATTCATAGAATATTTCTCACAACTATTATTTGTATCTTTGCTTTTTATTTATTTATTTATTTGCTTCTATTTATCTTTGCTTCATTATTTAAAATGAATAAAAAATAAAAAAAATCTACTTCCAAATTAAAGTAAGGGAATAAATAAGACCACAGATGTGGTCTCTTTCTCAGACTTGGCCTCTTTCTTTCTTTTACTATTTTTTTTTTTTGGGAGGGGTCTCCTTTCTGAGATCTGCTCTCTGAAAATACAAGACACAAGAGGGAGGCAAGGGCTCCCATTGTAAACACCATTAAAACAGCAAATTTTAGCCTCATTATCAAATCAGGGAAAATTATGGAAGATCCATGTGTCTTCTCCAGGGATTAGTTGCTACTTTAAAACAATGATGCATTTGAAAAGGAATTCTCCCAGGCACCAGTGGATTAATCTCGCCATTTCTTCACTAAGATAGATGAAAGAAGAAAACAATGCCAGCAACACTATTCTTTCAGTGTCCTCAAAATCCAAACATTCTAGAATGCAAAAACCAAGATTTATAAGCAGCAGAAAGTATGTTGGGGTGTCAAAAATAAAATAAATTCTCTGCTTATTTTAGCCACATACTTATATTCCATTCAGATTCAAGTCCAGATTGCCGCATGGAAGAAATAAATCCTGTGGCTTAACCTCAGAAGATCCCCCAACCCCGTTCCTCCTGGGCTACTTTATAGGTTGAAATCTGCTAAGAGAATAAAAATCAATATGTAAAATAGCCCCAAGGAAATATAACTGAGAAGGAAAACAGCATCATAATAATAACATTTAGTATTTTCAAAGCTCAAAATAAATAATGCTTGGAGTGCCTTTCCATCTTATTGTTACCTTTAAATAATGTGATGCATAATACACAGGCTTACATATTTAAACAAGCTTCAAATGAAGAGTGGCCCCATAAATCTATCTCTGAAAACTGAGTGAAATTGAGGAGACTAGATTTTAGATTTCATACTAGTATGTGTGATTATATTGTTTCCTTCTTCACCAGATGTATGACACCTAATCCTGACCTACCAGCCATTCCTTTCTGTTGATCAGTGTAGGCTTTCTTAGTCTTATGGCAAAGAGCATTGTCCTTGTTGACGTAAGTTCTTTTTATAGGAAGCTTTGCGATTCATCTGTTATGAGTGGCATAGAAAGAATTCTTTTACTGGTGGGTTGCCCTCAAACACACCCTCCAACTTAAGTTTCTGTAATTCTATGAGCAACATTGAATTTAAATTTGCTCTATTATCCCTTAAGTATACAAAGAACAAAATGAACAGAGCAAGTATAAATTTATTTATTTATTTAGAGACAGTCTCACTTTGTCACTCTGGGTAGAGTGCCATGGTGTCATAACTCACAGCAACTTCAAACTCTTGGGCTTAAGTGATTCTCTTGCCTCAGCCTCCTGACTAGTTGGGACTATATGCGCCCATGACAATGTCCGGCTGTTTTTAGTGACAGAGTCTCACTTTTACTCAATCTGGTCCGGAACTCCTGAGCTCAAGCAATCCACCCACCTCAGCCTCCTAGAGTGCTAAGATTCCAGGCATGAGCCACAGTATAAATTTATTAAGCAACCAAAATGTGCAGGCCCTATGGTAAGTGGTTTTTCATAGATATTTCATTTGTGTTCACAACAACGTGATGTAGTATTATTGCCTTCCTTTTGTAGCAGAAGAAAGAGAATAAACCATTATCCCAATATCACACAGCCTGTAGGCATTAGCCTCCATGTCTGATTTCTAAGTCTACTCATTTTTTAATATGTGTATTTTACCCTTCAGCTGTATGATGAGGATAACTGAAAGACAATCCTACCTTTATAAATGCAGTATAACCTCTGTAAGTTGATCATCCAAGGGACTGTAACAACCTTGTCAATATAAGGTACTAGGCCTACTGTACCAATAGATACATGTGGTGTATGTCCAGTCTATGGAAATTAGGTCACCTTACGGAGTTAGGAGTTGGTCAGTGAAGGAAGGTGGTCAACTATGGAGGTTCTACTACCATAACAATAAAAAATTATAAGTCTACAGAACTTGAGATAAATGGATTACTTTAGACAATTTTTGGTAATGATTATTTAAGCAAAATCACTTTTAAAACTGTAAATTCTATAAGATAAAATTTAAATGTAAAAAAAGATCTTTAAAATTTGAGTTCTCTGTTTTAAAATTGTAATGTCAACAAGAAGAAAAAGCACTTTCATCAATGTATCCATTTTTAGGACACTCACACTGTCACATGGTTTGTTGTCTTGAAAGCCAAGATATGGTTAACTACTTCACTATAGTTACTTTTTAACACCAAGTTCCATATTTTGCTGTGTATAATGTGCTCTGATGTATAATTTTACACATGCACATTTTTGGACCAAACTTTCAGGAAAAATTGAGAAAATGTTTGTTGCAGTCCCTTGGATGATCAACTTACAGAGATTATACTGCATTTATAAAGGTAGGATTGTCTTTCAGTTATCCTCATCATACAGCTGAAGGGTAAAATACACATACTAAAAAATGAGTAGATTTAGAAATCAGACATGGAGGCTAATGCCTACAGGCTGTGTGATATTGGGATAATTGTTTATTCTCTTTCTTCTGCTACAAAAGGAAGGCAATAATACTACATCAATTTTCTCAACTACATCTCTCTACCAGGAGAGGCACATCTGGAAAGGGCTAACATTCTCCTGGTAAAGGTGCTGATTGCACCAACCCCCCTTACAGCTGCCTGCTCTGTTAATGTTGCCTCTTCTCTCTCTCCTGGGAGCCCTTCCCTCACTGCCACATCCAGGGCTGCAGCCAAGATGGCCATCCATGCGTGTAGCCAGCAGGGTAGGAGCTTCTGAAAATGCTCGGCCTGCAGGCTGCCAGGCAGGTCCCATGGGCCTGTACAGGGCTCCCAGACCCCTTCATGCAGCTGAGTCTCAGCCTTCATCTTGCAAGGTTGCAGCCTGCCTCCCCAGCACACCCTCCCCACCAGCTCCCCTGATTGTGGTGTTTAGAGGAGACCACTTTGGCCAGCTCCCACTGGAATCCAGATCCTCCCAGACTGGAACCCTGAGTTCAGGGCACAGCATCCCTGAAAAGCTCGAAGGGCTCCACTTGTCCTGAGCTGTACTATCCATGTAGGGTACACATCCTTATTTTACCCTCAACAATCTGGACAAAAAAGTGCACATGATACAGAGCCAAATGTAGTACCTTTTAAATGTTTGCCTTTAAATTAATAGCATATTGATATGCAATGTGATAGCATATCTTTTACCCACCAATTTTGAACAGTAATATCATTTCTAACTTGCATATGTTTGTTGAGTTATATCATCTCTTTATTGTTTTCCTTTTTATTAAGACTAAAGGCAATTGTCTGCTTATCTATTAAGTGTACAGTGTAAACTATTTGTTATAATTGAGAATTTTCCTCTCAATTAGTGGTTAGTCTTAGTGGTTAACATTCTCAATATAAGTACTTGCAATTCATTAATTCATTTCAGCTTTATACTTTTAATTTCTTGCCAAAGTTTATGACTAAAAACATTTTGTAGTTGCAAATACCTTGCATCAATTGTCCCAATCAAGTCTTTTTTAGTCACTTTTTATGTGTAAATTTTATCTTTCCATTAATAAATCAATTACTTATCAAAATTATGTCATCTAACCTTGCCTAACAAAGTAGAGTTATTATACTGTGACAATGTCCTGAGATAGATTGAGGGACAGTGTGACAACAGTTTGACAACCTCCATACCAAGGAGAAAAATCTAACAAGAACCTAACCCAGGACTCCTAAAACCTCACTGGCTTAAAGATACACATATCACTCTTTTTAGCTGTTTTTGAATTCTCACACTTTCATATATATATATATATATATATATATATTCATCTGGAGCACATTAAAATAAATGTGATCAAAGCTTTCTGAGTCAACACAGCTACACTCTGGAAGGCAAGATACTCAGACTGGAAAGCTTCCCTTCAAGAAAGAATTCATTTTTTTCTCCCAAAATTACCAGATGTTACTTCTTTAAAGATTTTGCAATAACTAGGGTATCCAGACCAACTGGACCATAACACTATGAATGACTTTTCAAGGTTACCCTACAAAGTAAGATGAGGTGATGTTTGGGGTCCGGTCCTGGCCCTTACATTATGGACACCCCTGAGCCTGTGCCCTCATCACTAAGGGATGATGTCTGCCCATTGAGACCACATAAAGCTATTGTGCAAAGTGACTGCTAACTTTTATGTCCAGCACCATGAATCATAAAGTCCTCTGCATATTTACTGTCATAGTTCCACAATTTAATAAGGGTCACAGTCCTCAGAAATCAAAGAAAGAAGATGCACACAGGGAGATTTACCAATTCTTCATTTTCAAACTCCAGGTTATATTGTGTGGTGGCTTCTGTCATAGGCTTCTGGACAATGTTTCTACAAACGAGCCAGATGGTCAGACTAGTGATGAACATCCCAATATCAGGTACAAACACTCTGATCCCGTTGCCAGCATCAGCTCCCTTTAAACTATAAAGAAAAAAAAGGGGCAGGGAATTTAGTTGTTCTTACATTTCCATGGTTAAACCATTTCATAGTATGTTTCAGCCTTCTTAATGATTTAAAATAGAAGATGCTCGGTTTCTGCCTAAAAATGTATCAGAAAGCTTTTCACTGACATCTGAATCTTACAGAATCCATGAAGATTTAGGAAGGTTCCATTGTTTCCCTGGAGTGTCAGAAATATTATAAACAACTCATAAACCAATTTTTACTCCAAAAATGTGCTCGTGGACCATTACTATTTGTAAATAAACCACATGTCCAGTACAAATTGCAGTTTTTTTGCAATCTAGCAGAAACAGTTAAAAACTAGACATATAGTAGCAGCTGGAAGATATTTTACTTTACATATGAATCAAGGCTAGAAGGAAAACAGAAAAATGTTAATGCAATTCTTTTTTTTTTTTTTTTTCCTTTTTTAGAGACAGAGCCTCAAGCTGTCCCCCTGGGTAGAGTGCCGTGGCATCACAGCAACCTCCAACTCCTGGGCTCAAGCGAGTCTCCTGCCTCTGCCTCCCAAGTAGCTGGGACCACAGGCACCCACCACAACGCCCGGCTATTTTTCTTTGGTTGCAGCCATCATTGTTGTTTGGCGGGTCCAGGCTGGGGATTCGAACCCGCCACCCTAGGTGTACGTGGCTGGCACCTTAGCCAGTTGAGCCACAGGCGCCGAGCCAATGCAATTCTTAAATTCAGAAACTCTTCATTATTTTGTATCATTCATTGATTTTGTCTTCTATACTGTTCTAAAAAAAGATGAATCTAGTATATTTATTTTTCAAATCTTAGAGAAGTGACATTGATCTTGCAATTAGAACATTTGGGTTCAAGTCTAAGCCTGAAACTTAGCATCTGCATTCCACTGGAGGACTGTTCATAGTCTTCTTTCTTTTGTGCAAAGAGTACCATTTGCCTTCTGTACTGCATTCAAGTGACAATAGATACGATGTCGTGACTTTAGAAAAAACACAAATACATATGTATGAGATAATGTACATAGACATTCTTTGTAAAGTATAAATCACATTATTCTCACTCAATCTTGTATTTTGAGGATAGCAGCATCAACTGACATTTATGTAATTTTTCACACTGATATGGCATTTCTTGTTAAAACTGAGATACTGGGGGGAGGAGCAAGATGGCAAGCAAGTAACAGCTTCCTTACAACTGGGCTGTTACAACTAGGTGAGACTGGGGAAAATAGACTCTAGGCATTTCTGACTGGTGGGATCTGCCCAGTAACATCCCTTTTGGGACACAGCGAGTCAGCGTGAGACTTCTGGACCCCACGAAGAGGACAAAGGCAGTGGAAAACTGGACTCATTGAAACTCTAAGCTAAAGGAACAGTAACTTAAAGAGCAAGAGGAAGTGAAAGGAATATTAGGGCAAGGAAATAAATAAAAGAGAACACTCATGAGGAAGAATCAGCAGAAAAATCCTGGCAACATGAAAAACCAGTCCAGAGAAACTCCCCCAAGGGACCATGAGGTAGCTACTGCAGAGGATTCTACCTACAAAGAAATGTTAGAAATGATAGACAGGGAATTTAGAATACAGATGATGAAAACAATGAAGGAAATGATGGAAAAAATGAAGGAAACTACTGATAAAGTGGAAAATAACCAAAAGGAAATCCAAAAACAGAATCAAACAAGAGACAAACAAGAATATAGAAAGGATATAGTAGAGCCCAAGGAACTGAAGCAATTAGGGAACTTAAAGATACAATAGAAAGGATCAATAACAGATTAGACAATGCAGAAGAAAGAATCTCAGAGGTAGAGGACAAAGCTCTTGAGATTACTGATAGTTAAAGAGGCAGAAAAGAAGAGAGAGAAAACACAACTTTCACTAACAGAATTGTGGGACTTTATGAAGCATTCAAATATATGACTTATAGGTATCCCTGAAGGGGAAGAAGAATGCACCAAGGGAATGGAAACCATACTAGAGAATATTGTAAATGAAAATTCCCAAATATCACCAAAGATTCTGACACACTCCTTTCAGAGGGATATCAGACCCCAGCTTGCCTCAACTCTAACAGAGCTTCTCTAAGACACATTGTGATGAACCTGTCCAAACTCAAGACAAAATAAAACATTCTGCAAGCTTCCAGGAGTAAGGGCCAGTTGACCTACATGGGCAAATCCACCAGGGTGACTGCAGATTTCTCAAATGAAACATTTCAAGCAAGAAGACAATGGTCATCTACCTTTAATCCACTAAAACAGAACAATATCCAGCCCAGAATTCTACATCCTGCTAAGCTAAGCTTTCAAACTGACAAAGAAATCAAATCATTTATTGATATGCAAACATTGAGGAAATTTGCCACAATAACACCAGCTCTACAACAGCAAAGTAAGAACTCAGAAATCAAAGGACAGAACTTAACTTTCATAATGATGCAAAAGATAAAACTAACCAATGGACTCTCACACAATAAGATGGATAGAACACTACCACACTTATCAATTATCTCAATAAATGTTAATGGCTTGAATTCCCCACTCAAGAGACATAGATTGGCTGATTGGATTAAAAAACACAATCTATCGATTTTCTGTCTGCAGGAAACACATCTAGCTTCAAAAGACAAATTTAAACTCAGAGTTAAGAGTTGGAAGACAGGAGAATTCTGGGAAGATGGCTGACTGGTAGCAACCCTTGTCAGAGGCTCCTGAGCAGAGGAAGAAAAACTGGATGGAGTCAGACTCTACAAAGCCAAAGATAGAGAGCTGAGCCAAGAAAGAAGTTTGGCAAGCTGTAACTTCAAGGAAGAGCATTCAAAAAAACAAATTATAGGTACAAAGCCTATTAACTAAAGGATGGGAAACCCCTCCCCCAAGCAGGAGGTCTGCCCCAGGCTATCTGTGGAGGAGCAGGGAATAAAAGACCTCTCATTTTACCTCACTGGAGAGAGTCGTTAAACTCCAGGTCTCTTTCTCCAGGGAGGTCCCAGTTATGAACCTAGACACTGCCCCACCAGGCATAAAATTAAAGAGATATTTTTCCCCACAAATCCAAACTCCCAGTCCACCCTTTCCCACTCGCATGGTGGTCTGAAGTTCTACCCCCTGCAGAACTGTGTTTGGTCTTGTCCGGAGAGACCTGGGCATAGTGTGGACTGCCAACCATCAGATGGAATCTGTGACTAATGGTGAAGAAAAAGGGTGTGGGAAGAAAGGGACACTCAGTGTGAGGAGGAGCAGTCCCTTAGTTATGACTATGCCCAGCCAGCGGTAGTGTTGACCCTTGGTTCAGGATGTGTATGGAAGGACAGGGTGCAGAACCCCCAACTCTGATGGCCCTCACAACAGGAGAGTGGTTGCCCCATGTGGACTGAGTTTGGCAGACAGGGCTGGTCCCTGATGGGCCTGCAAGTCTTAATAGGCATGGACTGTGACCTGAAACCAAGGGTATGGTCTCCTGATTCCAACAGAATCCTTGAGCAGTGGCTTACTGGGTGTGAACCAAGCCCTGAGGGCTAGGGCATGCTCCAATACCTCCAGCAGGGCTTGTAAGCAGAGGCTTACTAGGTGATGACCAAGACCTATGGATGGAGTGTGCTGCCCTGACTCTAACAGAGCCTGTGAACAGAGGCTTGCCAGGCAGTGGACAGGCGGGGCATGGTCCCCTGACTCCAACTGTTCTGGTAAGTAGTTGCTAGCTGTGTGTGGACTGAGACCAGAAGGCAGGCCTGGTGCCCTGACTCCAACAGAGCCTGCAAACAGAGGCTTGCCTGGCAGTGAACTGGCAAGAGAGGAGGGGAATGGTCCCCTGACTCCAACTGGTCTGACAAGCACTACTCCAGACCCTACACCATAGGCTATCTATGTGTGGATTGAGACCGGTAGGTGGCCCCCTGGCTCTAGCTGGACCTGTGAGCAGAGAAGCAGACAATAGTGTGAACTGAGTCTGGTGGGTGGGAGTCTGGATCCCTGGCTCCAATTGTGCTTTGAATACCTTTTCTTTGAATTGTCCTTGAATCCCTTTCTGTTGGGCAGGGTTTTCACTGCCAGAGGCAATTTGGTTGGAACTCATGTCTGGGGCTGTCCACTCTGGGACATTCTGAGGTTGACCTTTGAAGTTCTGTAGTGGAAAAGAACTGAAGAGTGGGAACTGGGCATCACAGCTGTTTGTATCTCTTCACAGTTGAGATTTAAATCTAATAGTTTGGTTTCTTAGGATAGAGTAGAGTTTGGCTGATATCAAAATAGAGCTAGCCTTCACTATCTCACCAAGTAGGTCCTCAGAGTCTCCAGCCAAAACTCTGAAAGGGGTCTTAGTACGGTTGTAGGAGATAAGCCACAAGTACAAAGTTTAGAGCTTTGGTAAGGGGCTATCTCACCCTACCAGTTCTAATAACCAAACAGTGGAAAATAAACATGGTGCTGCGGACCCAACAGAAGAACTCTGGCAACATGAATAACCAGAGTAGATCACCCCCCCAATACAACTGAAGATTCCATGCATACACAAATGGCAGCAATGTCAGAAACTGAATTCAGAATATGGATTTCAAATAAGATAAATAGAATGGAAGAAAAGATAGAAATTGAATTGCAAAGAGTAGTTCTAAAGTTGTCTCAAGAAATTAATGAATTCAAAGCCCAAGTCACCAAAGATGTGGACATAATGAGAACAGAGATAGTAGAGCTCAAGGAAATGAAAATGTTAGTTGAGGAGCTCCAAAATATAGTAGAATCCCTCAGTAATAGAGCTGACCAGGCAGAAGAAAGGATCTCTAAAACTGAGGACAAATCTTTTGAATGTTCCCAAACACTCAAAGAAGCAGACAAATGGAGAGCAAAAACTGATCATTCCCTGAAAGACTTATGGGATCACTCCAAAAGATCAAATATTCATCTTATAGGAGTTCCCAAAGGAGAAGTAGATGGTCCTAAAGGTACAGATGCTCTACTCCAAGAGATTTTGGAGGAGAATTTTCCAAACATTG